AGGCAAGCGGGAGAGAGGGAAGGAGGATTAACCCTTCAAGGGCAATAGCAGAGATTTTGGAGACACGCTGGATGGGGCAGCACGGAAGATGGACTGTTGAAGGTAGAGGTGAGGAAGGGGTCCGTCCTTGTTCCCGGGGAAGCCTCCGCTCCTGGGGCTGTGGCAGTCCCGGCTGCAGGGGGGCGGCAGGGACAGGGTCTGGCGTGCAGACTGATGTGGGGGTAGAGCCCCAGCTTCACCTGCAGTCAGAAGGATTGGGTGGACTGAGATGAAGTTTTGTGTCCTTTCAGCTGAGTCTGCTGATGTCCAGAATGGAAATTTTGTTTTTTCTCTTCCAGTCACTCTTTGAACGCCAGGGTATGGCAGCACACTCGGGGGTCCTTGCGGGAGCTGACAAGCCCCACGTTTCACTGCGCAAAGGAATTCCACGGACAAAATCTGTAGGTAAGGCAAACTGGGGGGAAATCCCTTCCTGAAGAGGAAAGGTTGTCCCCATGGAGCGTTCATGCCTGCATGAGGAGGAAAGGCTCAGCCCTCTCTACTCTAACTAAAGATCTTTGACGAGGGGATGTTTAATGTGATTTCTACTTTGAAGGTTGCATGTGTCCTGGGAAACCTGTTCTAACACTGACAGTCGTCCTGCTCTGAGCAGAAGGTTGGACTGGAGACCTCCAGAGGTCCCTTGCTCTCTCAATCTCTTTATGGCACTGCCAGGGATAGAGGAGTTTTTCCCACCCTCCGTGCAGGCAAATGAGGGCTTGTGGGTGATTTTCTGTCGGACCATGTAGTGGCTGGGCTGGGCGTGCAGTGTGCTGAACACGTGGGTGGTTGGGAGTAAAACAATGAGCTGTAACAAACTGAGATGATGGAGCAGGTAACTGAATTTTTTCTAAAGAAAAACAGGACAGGGCCTGGAACAGGCACTCATCTATGGGCTGTGTCAGGATCTTTAGACCCTGTCCCAAAAAGTTTGCAGTGCAACTAAAACCAAAAATATGCTGGAGGAGGGAGATGGGAGGATGAGGCAGAGTAACCAAGGACTGGTGGCACAATGACGCTATGGGGGTCTCATTTTCTTCTCTTGATTTTGTGTATCAGTGGATTTCATCCGGGTGTTAACACCAAGCTTCCGTGTTAGCAAGGTCTGCGGGCTGTGCAGGTCGGAGCTGGGGAGCATGCGTTATCACTTATGTAGAGAAGCTGAGGGGCAGGAGGAAAGGGGACAGAGAGAAAGGTGGTGTGCTGTGTGGCAAGTGCTAATTTTAAGTAACCCCAAGGCATCATTTGATAGTAACAGTGATGCCAAAAGAGATTGTATGTTTAACGCACAAAATAAGTGAATAGAAAGTAAATTCTGCTTCAGGCTGCAGCTGAGAGCCACACAATCCCAGAAAGAATGTAAAAATTAGTTGAAAAATGCAAGGGTTAGTATTCGAAATGTAGTTCTTGATGTACAGAGCCACAGAATTGCTGTGCATACGTGCCTCACATTCATGTTTGTATGAGAGCAGCTGGTACCTGTAGTCCCACGTGAGACTGGTCTGAGAGTAGTAGATAGCTAGAGATAATCATGTGTGTGTGATTAACCTGAAAAACAAACTAGGAGAGATAATCTTAAAAAAAAAAGAGTGGGTGTTTAATGGACTGCCCTGCTGTGTACTTATACACCATGTTGCCAACGCTGCTATCCTGCCATGAAATCTACAGGCAGAAGGCTCCCGTAACTGAAGAGCTGAACTAGAACCTGGGCTGAGCAGATGATGAGATGCGGTGTTGGAAGCAAATGTAGGCCTTAACGAGTTGCTCATACGTTGCAATACTGTTAATGTACATGGTAGAAAAGGAGCAGAGCTGACTGCCTTGGTGCCTAGGATCACCACAGCGCCGACCCATGGACTTGCTAGAGTAGAAGCAACCAGTTAATTTTCTCATGAAGGTAAAAATGATCAGTAGCACATGCAGGATGGGATTCATCTCATCCAGCCTTACATGTTAACAATGCAGAAATCTCCATCCAAGTAAGGTGCTCAGGAACCATCTATAGTGCCCAGAGGGAAATGGCACTTTTAGCATGATTTATCTGATGTCTTGATCTTAGAGGTGAATCCTGCACAAGTGCCCATTGACTGTGAGGGGTATCTAGTGACCACTGAGGTGTACGACTACCTGGCAGACAAGCATGCAGTGGCCAGTGGTGTCTAAAGGGCATCTTTATTTTGCAAACTATATCCTAGATGTTTGTTTTATGTGTGAGAATGTTTGTGAAAATGCTTCTAAGCAAAAGTTGTTCAAGGTTCAATCAAGCCACAAACAGCTGGAAATCCTATTAAAGAGGATCTATTGTGTAAAATAGCATCTTAACCCAGTAATAGATCGTAAACTGGAAAAGTATTCATTAAATATGAAATACTTGCCTGTAAGAAGCTCCTCTTTGCTTGTGAAAGCAGAGTCAATTACTCAGGAGGTCCCTCTAAAGCTACACCTCGTGTGATGCTCGTGGTGGAGGTATGCTGTCAAGGATCTCTGTATGCAGAGAACTGTGAGAAGGGGGATTCAAAGTTTGTAGGGTTTATATAACTGTAAGGTTTGTTGGGTTGTGTGTAGGGTTTATATGCTCATGAGCATAAAGTGTAATGTCCCATGTATGTCTTTTTTGTTGAGCACCTAGAGCATTGAGACCCTGATCCTTGCACGGGATTCCCAGCCATTACAGCTACACAATCCGTGCAACAAGGGGATTAGAAACGCTAGATTTAATCTGCATCAGGGAAGATTAAAAGCAGACCTGGAGATGCCCTGTTTCTGAGCCGGAATGGCTGCAGCTGTCACGAGCACAGCATCCAAGCACAACCCAACAATAAATACAGGAAAAAATCACACGTCGCTCTTAATTATGCTCGATCCAAGAATGGCATGCGTCTATCCGCACTGAAAGGGAACAATTCCTGTTGAGGAGGGGACAGTAACTTCTTGTTTCCAGTTTGCCTGCCACAATACACACCAAAAGCAGTGCATCTTAGAAACCGGCTAATTTTTGTGGAATTCCAGATAAGCTAAAATAGAAAACAGAAAACAGTAGAAATTGGGTTGCAATCAGCTTGTTTTAGAAGTCCTTCTTGAGCTGTCATTTCACACCCACAATGACAGGCTCATACGCTGTACAGTCAGTTGACTTCATGATAAAAATCACTACTAAAAGCAAGGAACTAGATGAAAAATAAGCAGGGGTTGGTTGGTTGGTTGATTTGGTTTTTTGCTGAAGAAATTCTCTGAATTATTTGCATATTACACAGCTGGTTTAGATTCTCAGGGACTTGTGACAAAAGATCAAAGCATTTCTTGTTTGCATCTAAAAATTTCTTGAGACAAAGGTAGTTAACCCTCGACTGCCTACAAAGAAAGCAGAACGGAAGAAATATTTCAGTGAAAATGTGAAGAAAAGAAATGCATTGCAGTGGGGAGGCTGATAGAAAAGAAAATCTCTGTCAGACTTCCAAGATAGCTACCACGCCATCTGCTCCAGCATCAGAAGTTAAAAACACTTGAAAGTCTGCAAAACTGTCATGGTACTCGCTAAGTCTCTCCCCTGAGCAAATTCAAGATGATGTAGACGGTGGTTTTGCATGGATAGAAGTAGCGTGTGTCCCCATGTCAGTTAGAAACACGATGGGCTGCAGGCGCTGGCTGTAGGTGGCAGATGCACCTTACTGACTAAGCGTTGCCACTGCGGAGGGAGTAAGGGGTGACTTGGTGTTCAAAAAGACATTGAGGATGCCGGGCTCCCCCTGCTCTGCCAGCTCGGGGTGAGTGTGCATCCTTACTTGGTTGCACGAAGGTCGGGCAGGGTGGGGGCAGCTCTGCCACCAGGGCTGGCAGCCCTCCCCGGTCCCGTTCCAGGACCGTCGTTCCCTGTACAGACCCGGGGTGAACTCCCAATGCTTTCCCTCTTCTGAACAGGTTCTTAGATTCACCCTAGCTGCAATTTAAGCTTCGTGCCGTAGCAGCCAGCACAGTACTGTTATTTCACTGCTCTCTGAAGGGCAGTGGGCCTTCCTCCTCCTCCTCCTGTCAGTTCTGTTGTTGCCTGGAGCTGATGCCAGCCCCACGCACCCGAGGTCGGTGATGCTCACCTGCTTTCCACTTCTGGACATGAGCGAAGCCACGGCACTTGGCACCTTTCTGCTCTAGCTCAGGGGTGGCTTTGGGAGCTGCTCTGCCATCCCTGCACGGGGAAAGCAAGGTTGGAAACGGTGGGGTGTGCTCTGGGGAGAGCCACCTCATTAGCTAGCCCAAATTAATGCACGGAGTTAGATTCTCACAGGGATTTAGGCTGTTATGGCAACAGGCCCAAAAGCATTATGGAGAAATTTTGTGTTTTCCTTGGAGATTAATAATGCATTGAGCATGCTGTGAATTGCAGAGAGGGGTTGCCATAAGGCTTGTGGCATTGCCAAGCTGTGCTTTGGGCATGCACCTGGGAGCGTGATTCTCATTTCAGACCAGTTACTCTGGGTGCTCGGAGACAGGGTTTTTTGCTGGTCCTTGCTGGTTGCTGGGGGCTCCATTTTGACTCAAGCTCTTTATCCCTGCATGTGCCGACCTCTGTAGTTTGATCCTGGTGATGTCTTATTGCTCTTTGTGGGAAGCATATATGCCCCACTACGATGAAGACACAGTGTATGCTGTTTGAAGAGAACTGAGAGACAAGATCTCGATGGCAGTTAGCAAAGGGACAGGTTTGTTTATTTGTCATTGAAGTTTAATCTTCCAGTTATGTACACACAAGATGGACCAGGCAGAGGGAGGTCACAGGCAGCACACAAAGGGTCGTGTCATTTGTGACAGACAGATGCTCTCTGTTCTCAGAGGTCAGCCCCACCTCCACCATCCCTCTGGAGAACTTGGAATGGCTCGCAAGGTTTCATGTTCATCTGGCAGCCCATTGGTGTGTGGTAGAGGGATGAGGTCTGGAGGAGGCAGGAGCGCTCGGTCATTGTCAGCGGAGTGTGCTGGGAAACAGAGGGCAGACGCCATGCGTGTTCCTGCGACACAGGGGAATAGCAAACAGCAAGTTGGTATTACTGGGTTGAGATCTGACAGAATGAAAGGACAATCTAGTTTGGGTGCTACAAATTTAAAGGAACTGCCTTCCCCCAGTGTCATGCTGCGTGTTAGAGAGAGTCTGGACACTTTTCGTGTCGGCTGATAGCCTCGTCTGTGGGTGGCGCACGTTGGTGGAGAGCTGCTCTGCTCTTTCTTGGGTGCCTCTGGGTTTTGTAGAAGGGCTCCAAATACTGCAGGAATTGGTCAGACTCCTTCTCCTGCAGCCTGCCTGTCCCCTGGGCCATGGTCTGCCCATTGCCCGACGCAACGTTTAGCAACAGGCAAGTGTTAAGATAAAAGTGAAAAATGAACATATTTACAACAAGTAATTAACTATTAACATTTCAGTCAGTAGGAGTGGAATCGGATAAAAGAGCACCGTGCTTTCAGCTACCAGTATTTTAGATAAACTCAAATAGCTTCTCTCTCCATTTCAAATTAAAAACTGCCAGGATGGTTTCACCGGTCTTGTGAGGTGGTCCCTCACCTTTTAGGAGGACCCTTGTCCTCGGCACTGCTGTGACCAGGGGGATTTCTGTATGGCTGTATGCTCATTACCTCTGCAGGGGTCTGTGCAGAGTCCAGCCTGCTCTGCAAGGATTGAACGCAATTCATAAATTCAATAGTTAATCAAGACATCAGGTTTCAAGCCTGCTCTCAAGGGATTACTGGTTGCCTTTGTTCAACTTTGGAGACTCCCTGAGCAGAACTATATCCTGCGTAGTCAGTAAATAAAACTCAGCAATGATTAGTCTCATGTTTAACTATAACAGATGCTTCTCCGTGTTAAGGGAGAGGTTTCATTTTGCCCGTGTGATCACGTTTAAACATCAGTGAGGAGTTTCTTTCTATCATGAAGACTGTGTTTTACAAAATTTGCTGTCACAGTAGGAATGGGTAGTGAAAGATTTGAATAAGAGAACATAGAAACACAGCGACACAATTCAAAGAAAGCCTTGTAAAAGGTCTTTACAGAGCAGATGGGCATCAAATTAAACTGATAGGTGGAGTTTCAAAAGAAGGAAAATGAGGTAATTCTGCACACTGGTAAGCCACCGAGCTCGCTGCTGCAGGATATTGGGAGTGTGAGAAATTTGCGTGAGTTCAAAGAGCACTGCCAAGTGTCTGGAAGAAGAAAGTCCACCAAGGGTTAAACACAAAGGCAGTCTGACTCAGCCAGCTGTTGATCAGCAAATTGCTGAAGCTGACAGAGTATTTGGGAGGGGCGAAGCAGCACTGCCTGCTTGCTCTGTTCTTACATGCTTCCTCAGGCAATTATTATTGGCCGCTGCCAGGCAGCACACTGGGCTAGATGAGCCTTTGATCTGCAAGACTGGAGGAGAGATGGAGAAGTGGAGTATCGAGGCAGTGTCATCAGCAGAATATAGGGAACGAGCAAGCTGCGTGGAGAGGAGGAGAGGCAGATGAGTAAATGGATGTAGTTGTTTATGCAGGATTCGGATGGCAAGCACGCAGATACAGTGAGCAGAGGAACTGTGTCAAAATGGTGAGTTGCAGGTAGGGAAGAAAGCGCCTGCCAAGAATTTGCTTTCCTCCCATCTCTCCCATCAGTGATCTCTCCCATCAGTGATCTCTCCCATCGAGTATTGATTTTCTTGCTGAGGAGCAGTAGGAGACGTTAGTTTTCACAGGGAACAGACATTCTTCCTGCTATTCCAAGGAGCAGGGTTGTAGAGATGGTCAGCTTGGGAACCAGAACTGGAATTAAGCCATTCTTTTGTCATAGAATCAAAGGATAATTCAGATTGGAAGGAGGAGGTCTCTAGTCCAACCTCCAGCTCAAAGCAGGGTCAGCTATGAGATCAGGTCATGTTGCTCAGGGTTTTATCCAGTCTGGTCTCAAAAACGTCCAAGGATGGAGACTGCACACCCTTTCTGGGCAGTCTGTTCCGCTGCTTGACTGCCCTCATCATAAAATTTCTCCTTTTATCCAGCCAGAACCTCTCATTGCAGTTTTGCTTCTTGTCCTCCCACCATTCCCACCACTGTGAAAAGCCTAGCTTTATCTTCTTGATAACGTCTCCGTAGGTACCAGAAGGCTGCTGTTAGGTCTCCCCAAAAGCCATTCCTTCTGCAGGCTGAACAAGCCCAGCTCTCTCAGTCTCTCCAGACGGAGCAAGAGTTCCAGCCCTGACCGTCTTGGTGGCTATCCATTGAACTCCCTTCAGTTTGCTGGTGTATTTCTTGTATGGGGGACCCCAAAACTGGATGCAGTATTGTAGTGGTGTCTCGTAAGTGGGAGTGAAAGGGATAACCTCTTTGCTCTATCTGTTGACTTTGCTCCTGTTCATGCAGCCCAGGACGCTGTTGGCCTTTGCTGCTGAGGGCCAGCCCATGTTCACCTCACTTTATACCAAGTCCCCCAAGTTCTTTTCCAGAGTTGCTTCCCAGCCAGCCAGTCCTCAGCCTGTCCAGTTGCAAGGGGTTCTTCTTTCTCAGGTGTAGGACTTTGCATCTGTCCTGTTGAAATTTATGGAGCTCCTGCTCGCCCATTCCTCTAGCCTGTCTAGGTCCTTTTGAGATGTCTAGCTGGTCATTGAACTTGGTAGTGCTTCAGATATCATTTTCCATAAAAGAAAAAAAATGGGAGAAAGATGCTTACGGCAGAGAAATATAACAAGTGGGGAACAGAGAGAATAAAACGAGTAATTGTAGAAGCAGGTATGTAAAATAAAACAAAACCTAATACCCACGCCATGAATGTGTTTAGATTATCTAACCGTCCCCTTCACCCTTCCTTCACTTAAAATACTTTGCTTTTAACATATTAAAAGATCTTCACAGCAGGGACTGTGAGTTCACAGGTAGAACGGGGGCTACCACACCTACAACTGTTCACGGTGGACAACCAAGAATTTGCAGCAGCCAGTGGCTGTTGGTAGTCAGTGTCTCCTCTGGCTTGGCAGCCACTTGACCAGTCTGCTCTTTGCAGATCAGGAAATTTGAGAAAGATGAACCAGCTTTCCAGTTTTATTTCCTGAAATAGCTCTATACTTGACACAGGATGGTCAGCGCATCCCTAAGACAAACTCTAATGGCACTAGACCATGTTCTGTAACAGTCTGGGCATGGTAACAGAGCTCAGTGCTGCATAAATTTCCTTGTTTCAACTCTTGGCCATTCCCAGGTGAGAAGTAGAAATAAGCATAAAGGCATGACTTTTTTTTTGGACCTTCATGCTGTTAAGAACATGGCAGTGCCTATACTGCATCAGAGCATGGCTCCATCTAGTGCAGGATCCTGTCTTAAGCATTGCTCTTAAGCAGATGCCCAGGGAAGAGTAAAAAAAGGGCAAGGATATGATACTTCTCCTGAATACTCACCCAGGCAGCGACTGTCTTCAGTTCAGAGGTTTCTGTGCACGTAATAGCCCACAAAAAGTGCATCCTCCATGGCTTTGTCCAGTCTGTCTTTGAACTTGTTTCGTGCTTCCAGTTCATTGTGCTACCTTGGTATTAAAAATCCCCAAACTGTGTTCAGCAAAAATAGCATGGCTTTGAACACTGTGATAGTCTGATCAATATGATGAGATGTAAAGTTCAATGCTCACTGGCCAAAATATTCCCTTTCTGCCCCAGCAGCCTCTGCATCTGCAGGCGTTTGGGGAAATTGCTAATGTGATACAAGGCACTGTTGCCAAAGCACTTGGAATGCTGGTGGACATTACAGAAAAAGCATTAGAGCCAAAAAAGCAGGTGGTCACCGTGCTGCTGTGCCAAGATGTGGCTTTCTGCCATCTTGAACATTCTCTCAAGAGCAATTTGAAACCTTGAAAACAGCTGAACTGTGACTGTAAAGAAGGAGGTATGGCAAGTAAGTGATGAGCATAGCAAAGCAGGACTCGGTAAAGAGGGCCAGGCTCATGGAGAGGGCTGGAGCAAGCTAGGCTGGTTAGCTAGCGTCCATCCATGCAAGTATTTGCACCGTACTTGCTATGTTAATGGATTTTTCCTCCTATTACTTTACTTAGCAAGATTCTCATATTCCTTCACTGAGTATTACAGGTACCTGAAAAAGCTCTCGCTGTGCACCCAGGTAGTAAGTTAATAGTAAGAATGGCAGAATCTGGCTTCCTTGGGTACTTGCAATTCTTGAATACGTAAGTTTCTGCTAGACCCTGCTTCTGAATTCAGTCTAGCACATTGAAGCATATGTAACCCCTCGGGGGAAAGGGGGGAAGTGTGACATGAGAACAGCGAGCGGGAGAGTGCGAGAACCCGCACATGGAAGATGGCACTGTTTGCTGAGAGTTGCACAACCTGGTTGCACCCAGCTGTCTCACACGTTGGCAGTTGGGTGTTGGGAGGTTTGATCGAGCAAGTGTTCAATTCTGTCACTGTTGCATTGGTCTGGAGAGTGTTCAGCCTGTCTGGAAAGCGTTGGGCACAACTGTCTGATGGATTTAAAACAATGTAAGACATTGTGAGTGTCTGTGGCCACCCTTCTGCGCCAAGTGAGCATGAGCAAGGGGCCAAACTGCAAATGCTTGCACCAAGCAAATAAAAGATGAAGTGGAAAGTCACCTCAGAAAGAAAGCGGGGTGGGGGGAAGAAAGGGATGTCATATATCCAGTTTGCAGCGACTGTCACGCTCTGGATCCTCTAGAGACATCCTCTCTGACTTCACTGTTCTTCTTGCTTTCCAGGTGAAGATGAGAAACTTGCTGCGTCTTTGCTAGATGGGAAGTTTCCCCGGAGCACATCGATGCAAGACACTGTTAGGGAAGGACATGGGATTCCACCACCACCTCAAACAGCCCCACCCCCACCTCCTTCTCCATATTACTTTGACACAGGGCCCCCTCCATCATTCTCACCACCTCCACCCCCAGGAAGAGCTTATGATACCATAAGATCAAGCTTTAAGCCAAGCCTGGAGGCTAAACTCCATGGACTCCCACAGGTCATTAGTGCAGCTGAGATGTATGATCAGGCAAGGACTTCCATTCCTTACCCTGAAAGGCAGAAGAGGGCCCGATCCATGATAATCCTACAGGATTCCTCTCATCTTCCCGTGGAGCCGACAGAGATCCCCCGGCCTGGCCCATCTGCAACCCCTCCAGAGAAGCTGAAGAGGAAGGGGAGAGTGATTGACAACCCTTATGCCAACATGGGTCAGTTCAATGTCAGCCTGTTTGCTCCCACCAAGCCACAGAGGAAGAAGAGTCCTCTTGTTAAGCAGTTACAAGTGGAGGATGCACAGGAGAGAGCAGCACTGTCCATCACCGGAGGCTTTACAAGGGAGCCCTCTCCCACCCGCAGGAGCCATCGCCTGAGTGGAGTGGAATATCAGCACCACACCGGCATTGCTCAGGTTGAAGCCACAAGCATCCCCTTTGCCACTGCCATCGCTGGAGTCATGAAGGACAGAGACCGTCGTCTGGATGAGAGGCGGAAATCCACTGTCTTCCTCTCGGTTGGGGCCATTGAAGGAAGCCCCCCCAGCAGCGACATGCCATCCTTGCAGCAGTCCAGGTCTATTGATGAGCGGTTGTTAGGAAGCCGAGATGTACTACTGCCTTCCCCTGTCTCAGCTTTAAAGCCATTAATTAGCAGCTCATCCTCAACGTTCATACACCCCCTAACAGGAAAGCCCTTGGATCCAAACTCACCACTGGCGCTTGCGCTGGCCGCAAGGGAACGGGCCCTCTCAACTCAAGTCCCATCCCGGTCGCCCACCCCAATCCACAGCCCAGACTCAGACAGAGCAGCACCCCTGTTTGTGGACATCCAAACCAAAGAACCAGAGAGGGCGGAGTTGGAGAGCTTGGTGTCCCCTGCGTACTCACCTGGAGGCAAAGGGGCAATCGGAACAGACTCTGGGACTTTGGCCCCTACTAAGAGCCAGTGGGGGACTCCGTCCACACTGAGAAAAGAAACTGAGGCAAGAGCAGAAACACCTGGGAAGGAGGAGAAGAAACAAGAAGACAAGAAGTCCATGATTATTAGCATAGTGGATACATCACAGCAGAAGACCGCTGGCCTCATCATGGTTCATGCCACAAGTAATGGCCAAGACGAGATAGGACTTGAGATAAAAGAGGAGAAACCAGCTGTCCCTGAAGTATGTACGGAGCCAGCAGAGTCCCCCAAAGCAGAGACCCAGCCCAGTCCCGTGGGAAAGCCTCCAGTCAGTCCAGCCTCTGACAAGACGTTGGGACAAGGGAGTTCGGAGGAAGAAGTGGAGCCCTACACGGTTACCCTCCCACCAGCTCAGTTGTCTTCAAGTGATGAAGAGACCAGGGAGGAGCTGGCCAAGATAGGGCTGGTGCCTCCACCAGATGAGTTTGCAAATGGGGTACTGGTCACCACCCCTGGCACACCAGTCAGCCACTTGGCTACGCCTAGCACGCCATCCATACCAGCGGCAGCAGTAGCACCTTCTACCACTGGCGGAACACCCTCAGGGAAGCCCTCTGATGCCCCCGTAGCCCCAGAGTCTGCTGCAGACTCGGGAGTGGAAGAGGTGGACACCAGAAGTTCAAGTGACCATCACCTGGAGACCACAAGCACCATCTCTACGGTCTCCAGCATGTCTACGTTGTCCTCAGAAAGCGGGGAGCCTACTGACACATACACTTCCTTTGCGGATGGACAAACTTTTATACTCGAGAAGCCACCAGTGCCTCCAAAGCCAAAACTCAAGTCCCAGCTCAGCAAGGGGCCAGTTACTTTCAGGGACCCACTTTTGAAGCAGTCTTCGGACAGCGAGCTCATCTCCCAGCAACATGCGGCCACTCTGGCATCAGCCAGCATTGGCCGGCCACGCTACCTCTTTCAGAGAAGGTCCAAGCTATGGGGGGACCCCATGGAGAGCAGGCCAATCCATGGGGCTGATGATGACAAGCCAACTGTGATCAGTGAGCTAAGTTCCCGACTACAGCAACTGAATAAGGATACACGATCACTGGGGGAGGAACCAGCCGGGTCCGCGTTAGATCCCGGGAAGAAGTCACCTGTGGTCGCGGCACGGTAAGATGCTGGTCGCTGGCCAGGAGAGGGGGCGGGCGCAGGGCTTAGGCACCCAGGGGGACAGGGAGGTGCATACGCAGAGTGTAACTGTGCCGAGTAATCCAGGGTGTGTTTTGAGGGGCATTTCAGAGATGTCAGGACTTCTCAGCTGCACAGGGAGAGGCAATGCTGAGACATGCTTTCCAGAAGTTGGTGTGATTTGTTCATGACTCCTCCCTATGCACCACACACGTAGCGAGCTCGCACTGTTGCTTTTTCCCTTTAAATTGCCTTCCTGTTGTTTCATGTTCCTCCTCTGTCTCGATGCTATTGTTAAGCTGCTGTATTTAGTTGTGGGTTTCACTTCTAAATGTTTCCTTCTGAACAATTAATAACAATGTGTGTTTCTCTAGTGCTTTTCATTTCAAAGGATCTCCAAATGTTGTCAGACTACGTATTAGAGCTCTGGTCAGTCACTGCTGAGCGGGAGCCGTCACGAGGGTGGTCTGTGACAGCCCTTAGGACACAGCAGCACCACCCCGACCTTTGTTCGCTGAGGCAGAGCTCGGTGCCGTTTCTGGAACGAGCCAGCTCTGGTGACCTGCAGGGAGATGTTTTGGCAGGGCGCAGCTGGGGGGTGTTACGTGTGGCTCTGGGCAGGGGAATACAGCCGGGCATCCCTCCCATGGGTGCTCACAGCGGCCGTATGCTGCTGAGCGCAGCGCTGGGTCACACACGTCTCCGTGCCGGTGGGCCGGTGGGTTGGCTGCTGGCTCAGAGGTATCTACGCAGCGCCTAAGCATGGTAGATCCTCTCACCCCTTGTTCTCCTCCTCCATGCGCAGACCTGCACGGAGCTCGGCCGGCCCAGGAGATCTGAAAGGTCACAGCAGAGGGACTCCAGGACACACAGGAGCCTCTTTCTCTTTCAAAGTCATACTTGGGTTCCCTCATCCCTCGCGGCACTCAGGAGACACCGGTTCTCTCTCCCATGCTGGAGCTGTGACAGTCACGCTCCCCGAGTGGCACGGACCTCTCCGTGTCCCTTGCGCTGCCCTGTGCTGCTCTCCTGCCCAGCGTGTCCTGCAAGCCATGCCACCCACCGACCTGCCAGCACCCGGCGTTTGTTCTGACCTGCTGCCCCCATGGCAGCAGTGGCCCCTTTGCCCCACGCTTTCACCCCAACATCCCCACCTAACTATAAAACTAAACTTAAACCAAAAAACTCTAAATTAGAGCCCGAGATTTGAGAGCGAACCCTTACAAGGCTTTGAAATTTGAAGGTACAGCAGGAAGTGACCCAAAATCTCCAGTCTCACTCTACCCTTTCAGGGTGCAGCCACACAACACCTCCCACAGTAGCAAAGCCACACTAAGCAGGTCCCACCAGCGTCACTGGTGGGTGGTTGCTGGGGGTCAACAGGGAGCTCTGAGCTAAGGGGAACCCTTCTTTTGGAAAGGTTTTTCTAACCAGATCATCACAGTGATGGGTTACAAGTCCACGTGGTGCTAGCACAGCTGGTGATGTTTCAAGCTGTAGCATGGGGGACAAAGTCTCCTATCCTGACATAGCCCCAGGGGAGTGATCATGTAGCTCCATCCTTCAGCTGGCTCACGTCTCCCTGCCAGTGCCTGTGTTGGCAGTGCCAGCCCGGCTGCACTGGTGATCCACCTCTCGGTAGGTACCAAACTTGTCGTTACGACCACAGTGTGGAATAAAATCTCTGGATCTTGCCCTGCTACACTGTTCTATCTCTCTGGATTCGGCCCCAAGTGCCCATTATGACCATTCCCTGGAGACCGGTGTCTCACACGTGGTCCCTTCTCCCGGCACTGCTCAGTCGGGAACCACGGGGTCCTGTGCTGAATGTGCTTAGTTTAATTGCATTTGGGGACCCTTCTGAAATCAGGCACACCATGCCTCATATTCCTAAAAAGTACTGACTGTGCATATCTTCAGTGACGCTAGAGAACTTGGATGTTACCAGCTTTTAACGGCAACCAGGCATGGCATCTCAAACAGCTAACCCCTGCCAGGCATTGGCCCTTTGCTGAGACCTGGTCTGGGGCCCAGCTGGCCCTCCCTCACCCGGGGCAGGTGGAAGGGCTGCTGGGTCATCTGCCTTCAGCCCCCTTTGGTCTCCCAGAGCCAGCAGCGAAAAGCACCTGTGACTCCACGTGGTGTCAGAATGCAGCCCCCCCCCGCCGCCTGTCCTCTTTCCTTCCCTGGCCTCCTGTGTCCGTCCAGGTCACTGTGTACAGCTGACCTGCTGTTCCCCATGCAGCCTCCCGGCAGAGATGTGCCAGCACCCCCGGTTTCTAGGGGACACCCCTTCTCCATGCTCTGCCTCTCTTTAACCCCTCTTGTCCTCCACGACTGCTTCCCTTTGATTCCTGTGCTTCCAGCAGGCAGTGTGCTTCCCTCGCCCCTGTCTCTCCCAGGAGCAGCAGACCCTGCCTAAGCTCCCACCCCATGACATGATACTGCTGTATATCATCTTCTGTAGAGAGCTTGTCCTCCTGCACCGGGGAAGTGCCGTCCATCCTCCTCTCCTTACCCACTCTGCCACCAAGTGTTTGGCACTTTCAACTGTCCTGCAGAGTTAAATGTTCTCATTCCTTTTTCTGAAAGTCATGGCCTTTCATCTCTGAAATTTTTATGCTCTCAGTTGATGTCAAAGACTTGAAATATTTCCCAGGAAGTCAGCTGTAAATAGAATATTTAATGCTGTCAGCCACTCTCCTTCATTGTGAAAATTCCTCTCTTTTATGAAATTGCTGTAAATTCAGAAAATAATGTAAAGAGCAGTTAGATAAGCTTAGATGACCCATTTCAGGACACGTTTTCCAGTCCCTGAGAACGACAGTATTACCTAAACCTACCACAACAGCCACCCCTAAACACAGCAGTGCTGCTAAGGAGGGGTGCGGTGGGACCATGCTGGCGTGATGGCCGCTGCCAGCGGGGATGGCCCTTGAGCATCCCTTCAGGGGCTGAAGGGTGCTGCACCCCTTTGGCCAGGCTTCATGAAAGCCCAGGTGATGCTGCAGCCAGAGCCCATTTGAGCCCCTCCACGGGGCATTTGGAGGACTAAAGGGCTGTGGCCTGACTTCTGCTGCAGCGTTTTCTGTCATTCTTACATTTAGCTCTGCTCCAGAAAGGGTCGTGGGCCAAACTGAAGCTCTTACCTAGAACCTGGAGTTCCACAGGACTCGGGGACGATGAAGTGCCCTTGCAGGAGCCATCCACAAGCTGCCGGTGCCCCTCCAGGGCCTACAGGAGCTGCTGAAGCAGGCAGAGCAGCTTGCCTGTGGTGGCAGGTTTCATTGCTGGAGTTTCTTTCTAAGTACATTGAATTCTGAATTTACAGTGGTTACATCTAAGAGCAGGTAACTTCTCTTTGCACGTAGTGGCTGTAGTGCAGTCCCTGGAGCGTTTCTCTTGCAGAGGTCTGTGAGGGTCCTGGCTGGGGACCCCAGGAACAGAAGACACAAACTGCTTTCTCCATAACTCTAACTCTGGCTGTATTTCCTTCCAAGACAGTCTTCCACAGGAGGACATTTGACAAGAGGGACTGAGAAAGAGGCCAAGAAATACTGAGAATGAGAACGTAAGGTCAGAGTTAAGGCAATCGATAGAGACGACATTTATTCCATCCTCCCCGCTCCTTGGGCCCTGTGTGACTGGCCAGGGCTGAGCGTGGTGAGGGAAGCTCTGCTGTGCCCATGCACTGCGTGCTGGCAGAGGAAGGTTCTGCTCCCGAAGCAGTAGTGTGCCCACTTGCTGAGATACAGCCTTCTGCACAGTCCTCACCGAGACGCCGTAGTTCGGCGGTGACAGTGACAGCAGAGTGACAACTTCCATTCGTACTGTCCCATGGGAATAAGCAGTGACCCTTGAGTTGGGGACACACAAACTTTGCTCCGCTGGGAACTACCCTGACCATTACTTTGACATAGCGTGTCTCTGAAGGCTGACACGAGGCCAGCAGCAGCTATCTTCATGTTTAACATGAATAGGATCCTTGAAGATCCAGTGTCCCAACACGCAGTAGCCTTTGCTAAGCTGAGCTGCAGGAGAGTGACCAGACGTCTTGGCGTCTCTCTGACTTGAACTTCCCAGCCACCCCCGGACAGAGCTCATGCAGCAGCAGATGCCAAGCAGTCGTTCCACTGAGCAGGAGCAGTGCGAGGACCCCGCAGCTCAGAGCTGCTGCTGAACACTGAAATGGATTCATTGTGTGACATCCATTACCACAATAAAGCTGACGCTAACTAATGAGAGGTGTACGTTTCTGATTAGTGCTCCAGTGAGTCATAGCTAGCGATGCAACTGCATTAGTACCAGAGGCTGAACTCATGCGCTTCAGGGTGACTCACGCGTTAAATGTGCAACGTTAAACCCTGTGTTGAGATGGCATTCTTGTGCAGTGTCCCCTTGTCCTGTGACTGGCCATGGCCACCCAGCCTCATCAGGCTTGTGTCATTCCTCATTGCCCATAGTCACACCCGGATCTCAACCTCCCACCTCTGCTGATGGGGTTGGTGTGATGCTGATCGGCCAGCCCTTAAAGCTACATGTGAGCTCACGTTGACTCAAGCCAGGAGCATCTGAAGCGTCAACACGGTTCCGGTTTGGGGCTCCAGCTAATGCAGCCAAGAACCTGGGTTAGAGGGTGCTTTGCAAAGGGTTTTGTTTGTTTGTATGTTTGCTTGTTTGTTTATCTTTAAGCAACAGCCGAACATGCCAAATGTATCATGTGAAGCAGAATTTTAGATGCAAAACTGAGTTTTTCAGGTGCTGTTCTGGAAACCCACAACTGCTTTGTATTTCTACAGATCTGAAAGAGAGAGAGAAGAAAAATAAGCCCTTTAGGCATTTAGCTCCTAGGGTAAAGCTACCTCTTTCTATATAAACTCATCAATTAATTCTGTTTCAGTTAAATGGTGTAACATTTCTGGTGCAAGCTTTCAGCCGCTGCAGATACAACCCCCTGTTTCCTTGTAGGCTTTTTGTCTCCTCATG